GCAGTACGTCATCAAGCACTGACAAAACTGGAAAAATAAATAAAAAAATTCATATACATAACAATGGGATTTTGGTGAAATTAGTGGCAAAACCACAAAAATCCTTTTGGAGCTTCACAGCTCAGGCAGACTTACAGTAAAAACACAATTTAAAGTTTACACAAGTCATTAAAAGTTGGACTGTACAGAACTGAACTGGCATTTTGATATGTTTTGGTCACATGAAATATTTACATTTTTGGACGTTTTACCAGTGTGATTAATGGTGTATTCACACCAGCCCAGTTTAGTCTACTTCAATCAAARTCTAGTTCATTTACCTAGAAAGTCCAGTTTGTTTAGGGAGGGGTGAATGCATAATTGGACCTTAGTGCACCTACAAACTGAGGTCTTGGCTCGGTTGATGTGAACTCTGGGGTGGTTCACAATGCASTTGTGCTTAGGGTACCCAAATGGCTAGTGCTGCATGGCCCCATCCTTGTCTATTAAAGGTGGACATCACAGCTAAGAAGTCGGATGTGCTCCTACTCAGTGCACAACACAMCATATGAAGCTGTCTCAAGTTGCGTTTTCATTGCAAATGTGCACAAAACTTCGATATTCTGTTAATGTCGAAAAAACACAGTTTCGCATCTGCGGTGTTCCCATTAAGTAAGAAATGCTATTAAAGTCACGCGTGAATATGTTTGTTCTCGTGATAAGTCATTACAAACATGGAGGCAATGGATGTAAACACATAGCATGTTGCTACCGCGACACTAGCGCTCATCATCAGCTACCAGAAGAGACGTTGGCGTCTTTTATCGAGGCTTTCCAGCGACAAGCCCCTACTTGGGAGCGGCTAAGTATGCTGTGTTTTTGGGAAATTGTAGTCGGTGAGTTTACTACTTTATTTTACTACTTCTGTGATATTAATACTACTTCTACTTCCTGTTTTATTCTTTGTCATTGTCTTTTTCGCCAGTAGAAACAGCCGGTTGTTGATCACATGACTCCCGTGATGCGAAAAAAGTGTTTCCATTATAGTTTTGCGAAAAACACCAATTTCAATARGGCSGAAATACCTCCTCATCCTGGCGCAAAAACATTGTCGAAAAAAGTATTTTTTTCGAAATTGACGTGTTTCCGTTGAGCAAATTTATTTTCGAAATTCTAATTTGRGCATTTTCATGGTCAGTGGAAATGCAGTCGTCTAGTGTGAAAAGCAACATTCTCCATGATTCTGCCTCATTGTCCTCTCGGTCTGAGCTCATTGTTGAAGAGTTTGTTTGACACATTTGCCCAAAACAAAYGAGAAATCCTACAACCACTAAAATCTGATGCCACTCAGTGTTTGTTTACAGTTCGTGACYAAGGAAGTTGTGCTCATTGACTTCTTCTGAGGCTGTCATGTTGTTTCCTTCACTGGTTCTTGGTGTCATTTGACAAAGTGCAGTTTAAAAGTCCTGGTTGCAACTGTGGTCCCCAATCGAACAAAGTCTACCAGTTGTGAAAACACCCAAAGTTGCATTAATATCTCAATTGTGCTTTAAAAAAGTCAAGGCAGCCAGAACACTCTTATTTGAAACAATTAAAAAGKGAATATAAGAGGGAGTAAAACAAACTAATAGTAACTTATCAAAAAGCAAACATGTCACATTTCATCTCTAAATTAAACACGAATTCAGGATCTTGGCTGTGACATTCAGTCCAAAATGTTTAAAGACTATTTTGCATTAAGCACTAAAATCAGTTAACTTACAGATTGTGCAAATTCAAAACACACCAAGGAAACTAGGAGTCACTTTGTGCTTCCATTAAATGTGAGCCAATGAACAGAGTCCAATAAGTATTCCTAAAATTCACCCATTTTGAACCCATTCTCATCTATTTAATAGTTTTTTTTTCCTTTTCTTGCACCAGTGGCTCTTCCTTCCTTTCTACCTCCACCCCAGTCTAGTATACATCCCACCATCCAGGCAGCTCGRCAGCATCAAAGTAGTGCTAAAGTGAATCCAATATGCTTGGTCAGGGCYGCCACTTTCTTAGGTGGTCTGCTCCAGTGGGAGACAAAAGCAGCTAATTGATTCAACTCCCAGCTRCCTGAGAGGTGCTAGATCAGCTCTGAATCAGCCATGGTTGTTTGGAGATGAATCTGGGGTCAGGTGAAAGAAGAAAAGATCCAGTCTACACTAACAAGGAGCATAGATTTTAAAAAGAAGGTATATTGTTTCCTTTTTGTTAAGTTTGCTACTGATCTGTTTGGTCCTAAACATTTAAACACGCAAATGAAACTATGACTAATTTCTTAAGCTTTTTTAAATTGTGATGCTTATTCTGTCCAATAAAAAAAAACATAAATAAATCCTTGTAAGACTGTAAGAGAAAAAAAACATACAATGAGATGGATGCATAAGTGTACACCCCCCTAAACCATTGCTTCATTGAAGAAGCTTTTGGTTTAATTACAGCCTTCAGTCTTCTTGGGAACCCACCCTCCATCAATTAAAAGTGACTCTGATCAACCTGAAACAAAGTTCTGCTGTTCAGCAGAATTTCACTTACATCCTACAGCAAAATGTACGGTTCACAGAGGGCTCACAGAGCATTAATAGGATCTCATTATTAATAGGAATCAGTCAGGAAAGGTTACCTCTTTTGCAAGTATTAAACATTYAACAGAACACAGTGAAGATAGTCATTGGGAAGTGGAGAAAATCTATAACAACAGTGACATTAAGAGGGGCAAGATGAAACTGGTCAGGGGGGGCCGCTGAGAGGCCTGCACTGATGGAGCTGCAGAAAGTTTGGCTCGTGTTCCACATGTGTCAAGGTTAATTTGTAGGGGAGCATTGTCTTACCAAAATAAAAATAAAAAATCAAGCCTCTCAAAAGCATGGATGAAAATGTGTTGTTGTTTGATAAAATTGGAGGGGGATTTTTTCCCCCAATTCTCAAAGGTATATTTTGTGTAGAAACAAGACTGTGTCACCAAAAGAACACTCTTCAAACTTGGTGGTAGCAGCATCATGCTGTGGGTTTGCTTTTCTTCACCAGAGTATAATTAATATTTTACAATATCCTAAACATGGTCCTTCTCAAAATTTGATAATAAATATGTGATGATATGAAGAGGTCTACTTAGCTCCACATTCTGACATAAGGCTAATTTGAAGAGTAAATGRTTGTATGTTTGATTCCCGATAAAATGACTTGAAGGCTATATTACAGTTTCAGGATGTGAACATTTATGCAACCAGCTTTTCACTTTTTTTCCTCCAAATTTTTTTGTATAGGACATGCTTCAATAAAAAGTGAAAAAGGGTTTGAAATGAGTTCTGACAGTTTCATTTTTTTCCATCACAAAACCCTGACATTTTAACAAGACGAGTGCGTAGACTTTTTATATCTACTGTGTGACATTTAGGAGCATTCATCATGTTTTAGCACTTTTTTGACAGTTTTATGGTGCATTAATAAAATTCTCAAAAAAATATGGTGTTTCGCTGATGGACATACAGTGTATGACCTATAAACTATTTTGAAATAAATGCTTTAACTAATAAACTGTGAGAGGCCTGTGTAGTCCTGTTCTTGGGAACGGCTGGAACCTGACCAACTTTTGGAGAAACTTCCTTGCAAAAATTAATAAATAAATAAATATGATAATAATTCTCTAAATGGAAATTAAGGTAGAGCAGCTTTTCAGGCAACATACTGTCAACCTGTGACTAAAACGCACAAAGTTGTCCAAAGACGCAGCAGAAAACTTTCACTGATAAACTGCTGTTATCTCCCAAAAACGCAGCAGCAGATCTCCCCTTCATATCCAAGCTGCAAACATTTGCATCTGTTTAGTCTGATCTTATCTGAGTTCCAGAGTGGGACAATTTCACATTTCAAGCACGTGTGAAACATGCGCACCCSAGATGCGCCGCACAGCACCTGATCCAATTAAGACGTGACTCCAGAACGCACGAGAACAGTTTTCTGCACTGACTGCAGGAGTTGTCCCCTTGTTTATTTTTTTATTTTTTTTACACCCAAAGGTAAGAAAGGAGCTCATTTATCATCTTGCCTTGAAATGCGAAGAGGACCGTGACGCAGGGGATCCAAACGGCGTGTATCCACAAGTGACGCTGCATGGCGTCCTCTCTCTGTGGCTCCAACGGCTCCAAGCTCCTCCACAACAAAACTTGATGTCCTGCCGAGGTTCTGCGTCCGCGGGAAATTACGTCCTCCTGGAAGGTTAATGAGGTGGYATCGGGAAATAATGCTCCAAAAGAACCAGCTCGTCCACCAGCAGCAGCAACAACAACAAGCAGAAATGTTGGACTGGACTCAGGATCGCTCCATTCMGCYGGCTGTTCGCTGTGCGCCCATCCTCTGTCCTGCGCTGCCCTCTGCTGTTCCCCACTGCGCACCTTTTTTTTTATTACCCACCCCCCCCCCACACACACACACACACACACACTCTTTGGCCAAGCACAGACCTGAAGCTGCCGTTCATTAATAGCTGAGCTCAATGAGCCGCTGCGCACATTATGGCAATCCGTTGTGAAATTGGTGTGTTGAAGAGCGTGTCGTGAATAAATCAAGGTTAACTGAGGTTGTGGAGACGTCTTCCAGGGAGTTCAGTCCTGACAAACACTTTAATCTGATGCATGAAGGTGAAGGCAGGAGTCAACTGGGGCTCAGTGGGATCAATCCATCAAACAAATAACACCTCAGTCAAATGACCTGACGTGTACTATTCATTTATTACATGTCCGAAAGACCTGATGTTCAAAGCATGGTGCACATTACAAAGTGAAATTAATCCTTAAAAAATGTTATTCTGAATTATGTCAAATGCAGCAGTTTGAAAGAGTTTGCTTCAGCGGTTTTCCAGATATATTGATAGTCAATTCTGAAATGTGGGTACACGGTCGATGTAAACAAAGCGGCTGAGTCCTCRAAAAACAACGAGAAAGCTTGAGTCGGTTGACTGAATTATATTAGGTTGACTTTTTGTGGAAACAAGTTTGATGATTCAGACAACTCTGACAACATATTGGTGAAAATAGAAGTGAATTGGCTGCTGAATGCAAAAAAAGTGTGGTGGGGACACAAATAATCTCAAGAATAAATCAAGCAGGGAATGGAGCTTCATAAAGACTGACCTCGACACTGAAAAACATACAGTTATTGCAACCTTTTGCACATTTCACTCAACAAATCTGAGTATAAATATGTCTTAAAACACCAACTTGTGAGACTAATTCGTCACATGTGGTACGTGTCAAACTAAAGGCCTGCGGGCCACATTAAAATAAGCGTATGCTGCTTTAATGCCAGCATTGACCATAAACTACATCTCCCATAATGCATGTCAAGCATTTTCCCTAAATGACAGCATCCCACCAGGTGGAGATGCACGGGGTTCAAAAGTAGCTGGCAGCTTGCCGAATTCTCTGTTTAACATATATCCATTTTGCTGCATTTCCACCAGCTACTTCACTGTTTAGAAGATGTTAAAATCTATGCAGGAAATACCACATAGGGCTTGGTGATAGCAGTGCTTAACCATCAGTATGGATATTTGGCGAACAAATGCATGTGGCATTTGGCAGCTGGTCACAAATTTTGTTTACAATTTGATAATATAAGGATAAAATCCACTGATATGAGGACAAAGTGCAATTTTTTTCTTGCTTTATGATTTTATACCAGCTTTCATAGAATGAACATATTTAAAGTTAACATGGATTTTTTTAAGTTCAGAAAAGAATTAAAAATAATAAATATCGAACCTGTTGTAGATAACACTTTCATTGACCAAAGTCTGGAGAAATAGTTTCATTCTGACTGAATCGATCAATCGAATGACCTTTTAAAGAAAAATCCAGATGAGAAAGAATTACAGTAGTCTGCCTACGACTTATGCATGTACCAACTTTTCTGGATCATTTTCTCATTTTGCGCTGAGAGTTTATTGATAAGTCTTGATTAACAAAATAACACCAAGATTTCTTATACTTGTATTAGAGGCAAACTTAATGTCATCCAGAGTAAAAAAAAAAGGGCTGCCATGTTTGTTCTTAAGACATTTAATTCCAAAAACCCCAACCTCTGTTTCATCTGAATCAAAATACTTGTTGATTGGACTCATCAAGCCTCATGGTTAATTAAAACAGTGTCATCACATCTTATGAGGAAAGTGCAGTTCAGTTTACTTTTGACGTTTTTTAACTTTGAGAAAAAAGAAAACCTGAGACGTGTGCTTACTTTTGGTGAAATGACTTTATTACATCATCTCATAGAAACAGAAAGGCATGCATTGTTTTTTAGGGAATTCTGTATGGTCYTAAATATAGGAAATTCCCATTTTGTTAAGGTACATTTACCTCGGAGAAATATTCTGCTGTTTTATTCAGGGTCATGAAGCAGGAAKTAAAAGTCATTCCCTAACAGAACATTAAAATCCAGAGGTACTGAGCTGAGCTGAAGTGCTCTAATGGATCAATGAGGCCCCTCATTAGGCACCATGGTCTCTCAGTGAGAACAACAACTGCATGTAATGCTGCACACCTGCTCCATTTTCTTTGAAAGCACCATCAGCAGAGACAGCAGATGGGCAGGGCTCACCTCCCAGCCCGGAAAGACACGACTCTTTGCACTCACAGTAATTTCTTTAGAAATCATTGTCATCATTTCATGCATGCATCTCTCCCCGCCACATATTCACATCCACTGCCTCTATTATCCAGCCTCCCGGATACATTGTTAGATTTCAAATGAAATGTGGCTTCCAGGAAATGCAGGATTTCAGGTGAAACAAATTACAGTCATTTGGATTCCCCCTTTCTCATTTTGCTCTTGTTTTCTCCTTTTGCTACAATCTCAAACTCTTCAAAAGATCTCCTTTATTCCCTGGAAAAATCGGTAGAAGACTTTGAATTTGAACCATGATTRATGGAGAGAGACATATTCCTATTATTTGATTTAAAAAAAAAAGATAATGTCTTAGCAGCATGGTTGCTCAGTTGCTTCTCAGTAAGAAGACCGTTGGATCAAATCCTGTCTGGAGAACTGGTTTGGTACTCTGGTTTCCTCCCATACACCAAAAATGTGTTAGGATTTATTTATTTATTTATTTATTTATTTATTTATTTATTTAGGTAACTCTAAATTGTCCCTAGGTGTGAGTGAGAGAGTGAATGGTGGGCTTGTGATGGACTTGTGACCTCTCCAGAGTGTACCCCACCTTTTGCACAATGACTGCAGGACATGGGCACCACSAGMGACACTGAAAAGAAGAACAGGTTGATGATGGATGGATGGAAAGTGTCTTTAGAGCCTAATATGCTGTATACCAGCTTTATTAACATCATAAGAAAGTACAATGTAATGAATAGTCATTTCAGTAATTGTAATATGCAAGATTAAAAATGTGAAATATTGCAGAAAATTAAGAATGATCAAAATGTAATTAAAAAAACCCAAAGGCAAAGATAAATGAGGTTTGTGCAAACAATTTGCATTATTTCTTAATGCATTTTGTTTGATTGCTGTTCAACTACCTGATGCAATTGTGTTTCACTGTCAGTCATACTTTCACAGATGGGTCTATAGTTGCAAAATAAAATAAAATAAAACGGAGAACCAGGATGAGCAGATTGATCACACTGACTCAGGGAACTCTATCCTCCAACTGTTCCTCAGGGATAACAAACACTAAAGTCACAGCGGTGCCTGCAGCCTTCATCTCTATCTTCCTCTTTGGCCTCCAMACTCTCATTTCTAATCATCTCCGTGTGTTTACACACCAATATCCCCAGTTTCARAGAACTTCATTCTCATGTTACATGCCTGCACACATTTTTGGATTTTTTTT